TATGCCGCGGAGGGCGGCTCGCGTTTGAGGTCTGCTGTCACTCTGCTGGGCCAGTGCATGTCACCGCTGTGCACTCTGTCCTGACAAGTGCCCTCTGTAATGACTGGCCAGTGGAGACCGACGGCAGGCGCTGTCTCCACTGGGCCAGTCTGTAGAGATATTCATCAGATGGCCAGGCACACCCAGCTCACATCTTACTCTATATTCTGCGTTCTCGACCCCTGAACTATACATCCACAAATGAATGCCCTGTGGGCACATTAACGCCTGTGATGAATGGAGAAGTGTATTTCCCTCGGCGTGGACATGAAGCTTCAGTAGTGTAGCCCTCCCCATTCCCACGTGTATCCCCATGCAGACACCAGAATCGCTGCATGTGGCAGGTTGGGGGTGGGGGTGGGGATGGGGGCAGGCAGGCCTGAGGCCAAGGTGGCTCCCTGGGTGACGAGGTTCTGGCTGCCTTCTCACCCCTCCTGGGTTCACAGCAGGTCTTTTATCTAATAAACTACAGCCCCGTCCCTCAGGCCCTTTCCAGGTTTGGGACCGTAGAGTGTGAATCCAATGGGCTGGTGGAGACCACACACTTCAGTCCCCACTCCCCACCCCAAGGGGGTCAAGCTGACCCCGGTGGCCCCAGAGATGAGCCCGTGCCGTACCTGCTGCCCTCATGGCTGCGCTGTGGGGTGGGCTCCCTGGGGCGCAGCTATCTGTGGGCGAGGAGCTGCACAGGCCTCAGTGGGCGGGGTTTGTGTGCCCCGTGCTGTGAGCCACGGCACCTCCGGGAGGCCCAGCCAGCCTGCTAAAGGGTCATTCACGCCCAAGCCCTCCTGGACGGAAGGGTCTTTAGGCCCCAAACCTAGAAACTGTTCCTTAACTTAGATGCCACTTTCCCATCGCCACAGACCCAGGGCAGCACTGTCCCCTCAGCACTGGGCGAGGCAGGGCCCTCAAGGGAAAACCTGTCATTTGTCCCCCGTACCTCACCCCCCTCACCTCCAGCCCGGTGCAGCTCTGTTCCGTTTTCCCCTCCCTCCTCCCTTTCTCCTCTGGGCTCCCCTCTCCATCTCCCCTTCCTGTCCCTTCTCTGTCCCTCACAGAAGCCCTCTTCCCTTGAGGCTATGCCCTTTAGCTGGGGAGACCCACAGAAGGGGTGCTAGGGGGTCCAGTCTCCACCACAGCCCAGGCCCTTGGGCTGGCCGAGCAGGGAGGGCTCAGGGATGGCCTAGAGCCGTGGTCAGCAAACCGTGGCTCTTTGGCCCCTGAGTGTGGCTCTTCCACAAAATACCACGGCCTGGGCGAGTCTATTTAAAAGAAGTGGCATTAGAAGAAGTTTTTAAAAAACCTGGCCCTCAAAAGAAATTTCAGTCGTCGTACTGTTGATATTTGGCTTTGTGGACTAAGGAGTTTGCCGACCACTGGCCTAGAGCAACACCAAAGCCCAGACAGCAGGAGGGACAGATGGGTGACACCACCACCGGCCATGCCCGGTCTCCAGTGCACAGGGCGGCCCTTCTCCCACCTCCCACGGCACCTGTCCTTGCCCCTCCCTGTCTCTGCACGCCCTGCCCCCTTCTGTTCCTCTATAGCCTGCTCTGTGCCCGCCCCAAGCCCCCACTCCTGCCTCTCCCTCGCTCAGGCCCCCCAGGGCACCAAGAGAGGGAGACCCCGTCGGAAGGCTGCTTTAGGCGGGCTGTGTGAGTCACACTGAGGGGCAGGGGCATTCACGCCTCCAGGACTTGCCCGCTGCCTGCCTGGCCTGCTCTGGCCAGCCCTGCGCTGGCTCCCCAGTGCCGCCACACTCCCTCTCCCAAGGCCAGCGGCTCTGGAGGCAGCGCCGGCCTCGGCAGGGCCCTGGGCGGGGGGGCGGGAGGCTGAGGCAGGACCAACTCTCCCCCAGGTTGTCATTAACCCCAACTACGAGGTGGCCGAGTCTGACTACACCAACAACATCATGAAGTGCAGGACCCGCTACGACGGCCACCGCATCTGGATGTACAACTGCCACATAGGTGAGGCCCCTGGACAGCCCCACCCCACCCTGGGGGGGACCCCCAGGCCTGCTGGCTCCCCCCACCCAGCTTCCCATGGCACAGGCAAGAGCACCCCTGCTTCGACAAGGAGCCAGAGCAGCTCCCTCCTCTGGGTGTAGCCAGCCTCCCCCTCCACGCAGGGACACACGGAGGGCCTGGCTGCCGGTTGGGCTTCACACCGGCCTGGCCAAGGGGGCGGCGACCCCACAGCTATTTAGGGGCGGGCGCTGAGGCCACACCTCATCATGCATGGCCCTCAAACATGTGGGCGTTAGCACATGTTTGTGGCTCTGTGCATCATTTTCTTGCCCGGAACTACCCTGTTTCCCCGAAAATAAGACAGTGTCTTATATTAATTTTTGCTCCCAAAGATGCGCTAGGTCTTATTTTCAGGGGATGTCTTATTTTTCCATGAAGAAGAATACGGTACACGTTTATTGTTAAATGAAAATAAAGGAAATTTATTACTTGTATGCGGTACAGTAGTACGGTAGTTGTCAACACAAACCAGACAAACTGTGAATCCTACAGTATCAAGAATTTACTCATTTATTCAATGACAATCATATCATCTTCTGGAACGTCATCATAACAATCCAATTCCTGAATTTCCTGGTGGATTTCTTGTGACTCCATTTCTTTCAGAATCAGTGGACCAAATCTCTCATGTTTAGCCTAGGTGGGGGGGGGGGGCTTATTTTCAGGGGGATGCCTTATATTTCACTCAGAAGGAAACCTGTAAGTAGGTCTTCTTTTAGGAGGATGTCTTATTTTCGGGGAAACGTGGTAAAAACTGGTGAACCAACGTGGCCTTCGTCGCCACAAAAGACACCTCCCTCGCGTTACACAGCCTGGGGCACGGGAGGGAGGCCGAGCATCTGCTGAAGTGGTGGTCCTCGCGCGTGGTGAGGGCAGCCGGAGCCCACAGCGGCCGTCCACCCCTTCGCTCCACTCCCAGAGCACCTGGCGCTGCCTGGTCCTGCGTGCTGCCCGGTGCTGGCACGGAGAGGTGCCCGGCAGGCCCCCGGGTGGAGGGTGGTGGCTCCACGGCCAGGTCTGCGCGTCTGATTTGCTATAAACTCTGTCTCTCTGATGCCCACCCCTCAGGTGGTTCCTTCAGCGAAGAGACGGAAAAAAAGTTTGAACACTTCAGCGGACTCATAAATAACCAGCTCTCCACGCGGTAAGGCCGCTGTGGGCCACTCCCGCCTGCGGGCTGCAGCTCCTCTTCCCGCTGCCGTCTGCCCAGTGGATGCCACCCTCCCCTCGCCCGCCCGCCTGCCGTCTAGACACTGCGGCCACGGCCACGGCCACGGCCACGCTCAGGAGGAAGGGGTGCTCCAGAGTGAGCTTGTCCGCAGGCCGTGGGGGCAGCGCACCAGCCATCCTGTCCGGGACGCCCGGCCGTCATCGCGTCCCACCCAAACCACAGCCCCCCGAGCCTGACACCACCCTGCCCAGCTGACCACTGATAACCTAGGGCCGTCCCTCCTCAGGTGCCACTTGGGCGACGCCAGCTTACAACCTGAGGGGTCAGGCTGGCTCGTTTCTCCTCCTCGTAGGTGGCTGCCAGCCAACTTGAATGTCTAGCGCTCTCTTCCAGCTACACCGCCTCCCCTCCCCTCCTCCTGTCCACGTATAGAATAAGCTGCCACGTGTCCTCTGAGAGGTGAGCTCAGAGTCGGTGCTTCTCCCCACACCCCCCTGCCCCCTGTTACCAAGACATCATCATCATCATATTCTATTTCCGTGGACTTTGAAACACAAAGTAGTGGTATTTAATGCTGGCGATCTAGGCCTTTGAAAATACAGCTCAAAGGAAAACCCGCCCCCGTGTGGCTCCCGTTTGTCGCCGCGAGGCTGTGGGTCACTGTTAACGGTGCTATGACCAGGGTCCCGGGTGACGAGGACGCCCCCCGAACGCCGTGTCATCACGGACACTTACACATACTTGAAACTTGGAATAAAGCGTTGACGACGTGCGTCTGTGTTTCATTTGGCCCGCGCCCCGCCCCCGAGCAGCAGAGCTCCTGTCCAGCCAGACGGGCCCACTCCTGCAGAGCTGGGGTCCGCTGTGGCTGCAGGGGTCCCCCTTCCACACACCCCCAAAGAGCAGCGCCAGCCCCTTGAGAGCGGCCTAAGGAGGTCGCAAAAATGAGTCACAACCTCTCTTGAGCTCTGGTTTTTTTGCCCACATTTGTCAGGGGGCATGCAGTTGTGAAGGACCAGAAGGGACATCTAGCCTGGATTCAGGTTCCATCTAAACCAGAAAACTGAGTGCTCGGGGCCTGTCCCCACAAAAATGTCCCTGCGTCTGCCCTTGTGGGGGAGGCACATGCGGTGGCCACTTCACAGAGTCCACCACTGGGCCTTGTTCACGTTGGTTTCTGCAAGGAGCCCTTGGAGAGCCGTACGGTACGGACAGGAAACACGGGGGCCAGTCCAGGGGGGGCCAGCAGCACTGCCAACAGCCACAGCCATAGCCACCCTCACTCCCCCAAGCAGATTAGGACACCCAGCTCACGAGGGGACACCGCACAGGTGTCACACAACGCCTGCAACCAGCTCCCCAAGCTGGGCAGGTTTTGCACGGAGATGCCCCCAGGCCCAGCAGAGCCACTCCTGGCAGTCTTGTGAGTGACCAGTTTCCAGAACCCTCAGGTCTACAATGGGAGGCAAACAGCACCCTCTAGTGTCCCACGGCAGACCGCATTTTGAAGCCATCACAACTTTTTCTTCTCACTCTGAGGGTATTTGTCCCACGAAGAGTGGAAGGGAAGGGGAAAGAAACATCAATGTAAGAGAGAAGCATTGACTGGTTGCCTCCCACATGCTCTCCGGCCAGGCCAGCGATGGAACCTGCAACCCGGGCAGGTGCCCTTGACCAGGAATCAGCCCATGACCTTTCAGCATGCAGACTGACGGTCTAACCATTGAGCCACACCAGCCAGGGCAGTTTATGAGAACTTAAATGTTTATTTTTTCTCAACTTCTGGAAGCAGACCGAGTTGAAGCCCACCCCGCCGGGAGCTCGGGGCTGCTCTGTGAAGGCTTGTGGTGTTGAGGTGCCGGCTCGTCACGGGGTGTCGCTCCAGGCTGGCCGGGCCTCTCAGGGCCTCGGGGAGGTAGGAGACTCAACAGCGGGCCGCTCTTTCTTGCTGTGTTGAAGCCCCAGGGCCCGGGCCACCAGCCTCCGGGCCACTGCTGTGCTTGTCTGCGGTCTCTCCTTCGCCAGGCGCAGGAGCTCTGAAAGGAAACCCCGTGGGGCGGGGACTCGAATCCAAGACCAGGCCACCTCTCCTCCCAGCGACGGCAGCCTCCAGGACCAGTGTGCCCGCAGCCTGGCCAGAGGCAGTGAGGGGCCCGCCTCGGGCTGCCGGGTCCTGACCTAACCCTGCCACCTCTGTGCCCTGCCCGTGTCTCCCCCGGCACAGCCCCCTCCCTGCTCTGTAGGGCCGTTCGGGAGGGAAGTCACGTCAGGGTGGGACACCTAGAGCTCCTGGACAGACGGGGCATTTACTGACGCCCAGAAGCACGGGGCAAAGGCCACCGACCCACAGGGTGGTTGGCGTCACTTATTTGGCCCCTTTTGTATGCCTCTCCCCTCCTGGCAGGTCTGCCAGGCTCTTTTACCTCCAGCATACTCTGTATGATCTGCTTATCTTACAGAGAGAGAAACCAACTCGCACACATTCAGTGGCTCACCCAAGGTCAGCTTAAATAAGTGACGAAGCCAGGATCACACGCAGGGCGGACTGTTTACCCCCCTGCTCGGCATGGTTCCCACGGACGTGCGGGAAAGACCCAGCTTCTCCCTGAGCGGGTGTGAGCAGGAGGGCCAGCCCCGAACAGGGCAGCTGGCAGGTGCCTGCGGGCGTCCCAGCACCCGGGGGTGGGAGCAGCACCCATGGCCATTGGGCTCAGGGGTCCTAACGCGGAGAGCTGGGCGGGGGGCTGACGGACACGCACAGCCTCCCAGGGGGGACGGCCGCTCCCTTACTTGGCCTCTGCAGGGCCTTCAGCTTGGACTGCTTGCTTCCCTGCGTGAGGGGCCGGATCCTGAGCCCTGAGAACTCCTTGGTCAGGGCTTCAGCGGCTGTGGAAAGAAAACATCTGGGCATCCTCTCTTCCTGGAAAGGCCCCCTCGGGGCCCAGGAGCACACATACCGCCCAAGACAAATGCGGCCACTCCATGCACCATTCAAAGCCCAGGGACAGGGCTGCCCGGAGGCCACTGTGCCAGCTGCCCACCGGCCCCCGCCCCACACGCCCTCATGGCCCCTGGTGCTCTCAGGGGGAAAGCCTGCGAGCCCAGCTTCCACCCTCCGCCCTGCGCTGCTTTAGACCTAAAAAAACAGCACTTCCGACACGCGAAGCCCCGAGGGCTTGGCCTATGGCACGTGCTCAGCGTGGCCTGCACCCAAAGCCTCTGGTGGGAGGGCACTGACGTGAACAGGAAAGGCTGTGACCGCCTGGCCCGGAGCCACCCGGCTCCCCGGACTTCCGCACCAGGGCTGAGATGGGCTGCCACCTGGACACGGGCGTCTGCACCAGGAAGACCAGGGCCCTCCCCTGTCAGTGACAAAAAGGGCCGAGCCCACGCGAAGCCACCTACCTGAGGCCAGGCAGGGAAAGACTCCGAGAGCATGCGTGTCGTCCACCCAATGAATCTTGAACTCCTTCTCTCTGAGACGGGGAAGAGAGATTATGAAAGCAGAGGGCAAAACCCTTTCTGCTAAAGGAAGTCCCCTCCCTCCTCCCATCCACAAACACTGTGAGCCCAAGACAAGTTTCATCTCCTCGGGGAAGGAGACAGTCATTCCCTGCAGACCTTCCCTGAAGACCATGTGGTTGGCTTCCGCAAGACAAACCACCCGCTGGTCGGGTGGATCCCTACAGGAGTCTGGCAAAGCCAGGACTGAGAGAACTCAGAGACCAACACCAAGGTGATGAGGCTCCTACTGGCGATGGCACAGCCCCCCAGGGTGTGGGTCTGAGGCTGCAGACAAAAGGGTTGTGTGGTAGAGACAAGGAACAGGGTCTAAAATACCCATGTTTGCGTTACTGCCTCTGGATCAACTTCTCCCCGTCTCAGGCAAGCAGCACTGAGCCTGCGGCCACACAGCAGCTCCCGCCCCAATGCCTCTGCGGCCAAGGCTACGCTGCCTGGGGAAGTCACAGGGACCCCAGGTTGGCCATGGGAAAAAAGGGCTTTTTATTTATTCATTTACTTATTTTTGTTAATCCTCACCCGAGGATATTTTTCCATTGATTTTTTGAGGAGAGTAGAAGAAAGAGGGAAAAGACAAGAGAAACACCGATCTGAGAGAAACACCTCCATTGGTTGCCTCCAAGCGGGGAGAAGCCTACAGCCAAGGCACACATCCTAAACTGGAATTGAACCTGGGACCCTTTGGTCCGCAGGCTCTATCCACTGAGACAAACCTGCTCTATCCACTAGGACAGTGTTTCCCAAACTTTTGACATATATGTACCCCTTCTATAATTTTTGTCACGCTGAGTACCCCTCGTACTCATGAGAACATAGAATTAGGCGCAGCTAAGCACGGTGCAGTGCATATCCCCACCAAACTCCGGTGCAACGCGTTCCCCCACCAAACTCTTCCCGTACCCCTGGGGGGACGCGTACCACACTTTGGGAAACACTGCACTAGGACTCCGTTGACTTTTAGAGAGTGGAAGGGAGGGGGAGAGACAGAGAGAGAGAAACACCCATGTTTGGCTCTCATCCATTGGTTGACTCGAGCATGCACCCCGAACAGGGCTGGGGATGGAGCCTGCAACCGAGGTACGTGCCCTTCACTGGAATCGAACCCAGGATCCTTTAGTTCGGGGGCCTATGCTCTTTCGGCTGTGCCACACCAGCTAGGGCAGGAAAGGGATTTTTAAAAGCATATGTAGGAAAAGAGAAAGGGACTAGAGAATGGAAAATGAGCATTTAAAAAAAAAAAAAAAGAAAGAAAGAAAGAAGAAAAGACTGGCATTGGAGTTAAGGAATTTGGGGAAACAAGAGAAGTCTCTGAGTATATCCCTTCGGCTCCCATTTCCACCCCGGTTCTTCCCAACTCGGTTCCCGCACGGAGATGGCCCTCATGGGGCGGGGGTAGGCTGCACTGCCTGCGTCCTGCAGTGGGGCTCTGGGCCTGGCAGGCATGTGGCATGTAAGGGTGCTACATGTGCCAGTAGGACCAGCTCTAGGGCCTCTGGAAGGCGCCTACAACCAAAAACCGCTCTCCTCTTCCCCCACACGGCCAGGAGGCCCAACTGCCCAGAAGTATGGAGCCCACAACACTGGCATCTCCGTCCTGCCTTTCTTTCTCGGTGGCTGGGCACCGGGAGAGGGGCCCAACAACAAAGGCCTGTCCTAGCTCCTCTCTAGAGGGAGCACCCCGCCTCCCCGGCCTGCCCGGAGCCCGGCCTGTACTCACTGGAACTCGGAAAATGCTGCCAGCAGGTCCTCGGTCTTGAGTGCCGAGTCGAAGTCGTAGATCTCCACCACGTGGGCAAAGTCCTGCTCTCCAGGCAGCTCCTCCGCGAAGGAGGACGTGTCCACGTGGACCTTCTCCACCTGGACCTCCTTCTGGGTCAGGTTGTCCGTTATCTGGGTGAGATCAGGCCTGTCAGCACAGGCCCCACACAACTGCCTGCAAACCCACAGAGTCCTGCCGGCTTCTGGGCGGGCAGGAGGGGAGGGGGAAGAGTTAGGGTGGCTTCCCGTGGGAGCCACACCTGCCAGGAGCCTAGGAAAGGCAGCGTATTGGAGCGGAAGATGGAGAAGGTATTGGGGGAGGGAACTTGCTTTTATGAAGTCCCTGTCGCCCACACGTTATGCTTCATGGAATCCTGAAAGCTCTATTCTGTCTGTCTGCTACCAGAGGGGACACTGCAAGTCAGGGAATTAAGTAATTCTGCCCAAAGATGCACAGCCAGTAGAGACAGGGCTGGGCAAGACCGGGATCTTTCCTTCCCTCCTGAATGACGTGATATTAAGCAAGACTTTCTGGCCTCCATGCTTCACCTCTAAAATAGCAATAAAGCACACCTGCCATCGGAACACCACAGCCAGTCTCAGGGAGACACTGTTCCAAGCAAACAAGTTTTGTAAGACAAGGCTTCAGGCGGAAGAAAAAAAAAAATCACGGCCAACATCTGCGGTCTTTAATTTTCATGACCAACATCCGCAGTTCCTTACAAAGCAAGTCCACATACCTCCTACCTGCTACCTTGTGAAGGAGGTATTATCACCCGCTTTTCAGATGAGGAAACTGAAACTCAGCAAAGCAAAAGGACTTGCCTGTAGTCAAACAGCTCCTAGGTGGTTGAGCTGGGGCCCAAATCCATACCCCTGACCCAATATGCATGTGCCTCCTCCCTCCTGACGCCTCTGGGCCAAAGCCCCATGCTTTACCTCTACGTCTCCTCAGGGACCCTGTCACCCAACACACGGCCTTTCTCAGCCAGCCTGGGCACCGCCCGCCCGTCCATAACCCTTGGTCCCAGCCACCCAGGACTGCACCCACCTCACTTCCGCCCTCCCTTTTCCGGCCTTAAGAGCTCATCACCTCCCGCAGCAGCGCGCTGTAATCTTCCGCGGAGAAGCCGCCAGGCCCCTCAACTTCCATCTCTGCCTCTTCCTCCTCTGCTGCCACGCTCTTCCCCGGCTCGCTCCCATTCCCCTCTTCCAGGTCCAGCTGCGCCCGGGACAGAAGCTGGGCGGCCTTCTCCAGGCTGTCCCCCGTCCCCGAGAGGCTCCCAGGCCCCGCGGGCTCCGTGCCCCCTGGCTCCTGCGGCTGCTCCTTCTCGCACGGCGGGCCGGGGCCCTGCAGGTCCTCTGTCGTCTGAGTGATCGACACGGGGGGTTCCTGAGCGGAGCTGGGGTCCCCGGCACCAACATCCCCAGGCTCTTCCAGGAGTCCGCCGGCGGGAACGCCATCCTCGGGCCCCGGGGTCAGGGTCGGCGCCCGTTCTCCCGGCCTGCGCAGCACCCGGGGCACGTACAGAGCCTGGTCCGGCTTGCGTCCTCGATGCCCCCGCCCCCCACCTGCCCGCGCCCCTCGGTGGCCGGCAGCCGGACCCTGGTTTGAGGGGGTCCAAGGCCCTCGGGACTTGCAAGGGTGGGAGGCAGGAGGGCGGCGGGGGCCGGAGAGTCCATCTGAACTGGGTAACCTGAAGCAGGAACAGAAGGTGGTCAGAGCATGTCTGGGCCCCGAGGAAAATGAGCTTCCGGAGCGACCTGCCGTTCAGGCCTGAGGCTCTCACGTCAGCATTAGGCAGAACCCTCCACCAAACCACCCGAGAATGCCTCAGGAAGGCACCTGGCGGAGGCTGCACGCCATCTCTGCAGTAGCCCCAGCAGCCAAGCGCTCCCTCCAGTGTTTGAACTGCACCCATTAGAGATGGCCGAGCCTTCCATTAGGTGCCAGGTAAATACCGGGTGGCATTAGGAAAACATTAAAAATGGTTCGATCCCAGCTTCTGGCAAACCACCCCCCTCCCGAAAGAAAAGAAAATAAGAAAAGAAAAGAAAAGAAAAGAAAAGAAAAGAAAAGAAAAGAAAAGAAAAGAAAGAAAAGAAAAGAAAAGAAAAGAAAGAGAAAGAGAGAGAGAGAGAGAGAGAGAGAGAGAGAGAGAGAAAGAAAGAAAAGAAAAGAAAAGAAAGAAAAGAAAGAAAGAAAGAAAAGAAAGAAAAGAAAGAAAGAAAGAAAGGAGGGGAGGGGAGGGGAGGGGAGGGGAGGGGAAAGGAAAGGAAAGCAAAGCAAAGCAAACACTGGGCTCCTAGTCATTACAAGATCCTAAGAAATGCACACGGACACAGAGATGAGTGAAGGCTCAGATGTGCTTCTCACATTCATTCCATGGCCTCAGGGCACACGCTCCGAGTCCTGTGCAGACACCCTCACTGCTTAAACTGTGTTCTCTCTCTCTCTCTCTCTCTCTCTCTCTCTCTCTCTCTCTCTCTCTCTCTGCCCAACACGTATAGGTGAACTTGCTAAATTATGGTCGGCAAACTCCTTAGTCAACAGAGCCAAATATCAACAGTACAACGATTGACATTTCTCTTGAGAGCCTAACACCGACGTCTGCGCATGGGCCACGAAGTTTCCGTGGCACTGTATGTGTGCGCCCGTAGGTGGTATTTTGTGGAAGAGCCACACTCAAAGGGCCGCAGTTTGCCGACCGCTGTGCTAAGTGACCTCCACAAACAATGCACATCTACTAATCCACTACCGAAGCAGGCACCGCTGACTGTAAGCAACAGAGGCTGAGGGGAGAGGCAGCAGCGGGGGGCTTCTTCCCCAATTTCCTGACCAGCCGCCCCCCCCCCCGCCCCCCTCCACTTGCACTCCCTCCTCCCAGAGGCTGATCAGATCACTCGCCTGCCCAACCCCACAAGGAACTACGGGGCCTCGAAGGGAGGGTGACACACACCTGACGTCCAGGTGACAGATGACCGTCCTCCTCTTCCAGCCTTCCCCCACAGAGAAGCTGCTCAGGAGATCGAAATTCTCCGCCGTCCTGTGGATCAGGTACCGCAGGCGACTGGAGAGTGGGGGGAAGAGAAGCACCCTGGGGAGGGGCAGAGGGGTGCTGAGCGGGGGCTCCAGGCGCAGCCTCTGGGGCCTGACCCCCTCCTCCCCAGACGCCCTCCTGGCCTCACATCAGGCTGCCTCTGCCCCTTTGCGCCTCAAGCTGACTGCAAAGGACCTGGGCATAGAGCTTGTCACAGGGAGTGACTGTCCTGTCCCCATTCCTGTGCTGGGCCCCTTCTTCAGTCTCCAGGGAATGCTCAGAATTACAAATGAAAACTGTACGTGGGAGAGACCAGCGTGCAGACCGGAAAACCTAAAGGCCAAGGTCAAAGGCGACTGCAGGCCCGTTACTCTGGACGCACCACACCCCGGGGGAAGGGGCGAGGGGTGCCCGCTTACTTGGACAGCTGCTTCTGCAACAGGAAGCGGTCCAGCTCCTCCTGGACGCGGAGCACGAAGTCATTCTCGGTCGGGGAGAGGAAGACGCCATCCAAGCAGAGGAGGGCCAGGATGGTGGGTGGGAGAGCCTGTGGGGCAGAGGGGCCGGGGCGGGATCAGAGCACAGACCCAGCCCCTCCAGCCCCGCAGTGTCGGCGCCGCAAGGGACTCGGGGGCATCACGGCCAGGTATCTCCTCCGACAAGAGAGAAGCGGGCTCCGAGGTGGGAAAGGAGCGTGTCCCGGTCCCCCGGCCCCACAGCGGCGGGGCTCGGGAGGGGTCCCCGCCCGTGCACGCTGCCCCGCCCCCCGCACGCGAGCCCGATGCTGCGGGCCTTTGTGCCCAAGCTGCGCGCGCCCGCCCCGGGCTCCTGGCCCCAGGGCCGGGCCGCCTCCAGGCTGCCGGGGGGCGCGGTCGGCCCTCCCCTGCCCGGAGCCAGGAGCCCCGGGAGCGCACCCGCCCCGGCCTCCGCCCGCCGCACTCACCGCAGCCCTCCCCGCAGCCGCGCTGCTCCCAACCGCCGGTCCGAGGAGCCCCAGACGCCTGCGCGCCCCTTCGCGCCGGCAGCAGCCTGGGCCTCGGCGGAGGCGCAGCGCCTCTGTGCGGCCCGGGGGTGGCATTGCAGAGGGCGTGTAATTGATAATTTTTTATTTTTTATTTATTTATTTTTTTTTGCCCCTGAGCGCTTGCTGTGTTCTAAATCCAGACATTTCTTTTTCTTAACACATCATGGTCAGTAAATATAATTCTATTTTGTTCTTTTTTTTAATTTTTAATTTCTTTATTGATTAAGCGGTATCGCCTATTTGTCTTTCCCCCCCTCCCCTCGTTCTCATCCCCCCTCCCCACTCATGCCTCCACCACCCACTATTGTCCTTGACCACTGGTTAGGCTCCTATGTATGCACACAAGTCCTTTGGTGGATCGCTCCCTTTGATTCCCACCCTCCCTTTGAGGTCTGGCAGTCCTGGGTCTGTTCTTGTTCATCATTTCCCCTAGATGAGTGAGATCATGTCCTACTGGAGATATACTCATAAGAACCGAAAATGAAACAAGCAATAATAGCCAACATTTCTGAGTGGCACCTATATATATAGGTCTTGCAGGTACCAGATTTTCCTGTTCTGTTTTTTCCTAACAGAGTAATAAAGAGAAAGGAAGTTTCTGGGCACCAAAAACATTTCTCTCTTATTTTTTTATTCCTTGTTATTGAATTATTGGGATGAGACTGGTAAACAAAATTATTCAGGTTTCAGGTGCAAGTCCTCATCGTCTGTGTACTGTATGGTGTGTTCACCACCTCATGTCTCCATCCATCACCATGTATTGTATCTCTCCTCCCCAACCCACCCCCATTTGCTTATTTTTTCCCTGGCCCTAGGAAAGAGACCGGAAAATATATTGCTATGAGAAATGTCCGAGATTTTACTGTCTTCGGTTTCTTCTACGGTTGCTATGGTTTCAAGGCTAACATTTAAGCTGTTAATCCATTTTTAATTTATTCTTGTGTGTGGTGTAAGAAGGTGGCCAAGTTTCACTTTTTCACACATGTCTGTCCAATTTCCCAACACCATTTCTTGAATAGACAACCTTTACCCCATTGTATGTTTTTGCCTCCTTGCCAAATATAATTTGACTATAAAGGTGTGAGTTTATTTCTAGGCTCTCTATTTTGTTCCATTGATCTATATGTCTCTTTTTTATGCCAGTACCATGATGTCTTTTATCACTGTGACCTTGCAGTGTAGTTTGATATCAGGTAGCATGATTCCTACCATTTTGTTGTTCTTTCTCAAGATTGCTGTGACTATTCAGGAATTTTTATGGTTCCATATTAATTTCTGGAATATTTGTCCTAGTTCAGTGAAATACAACCGATTTCTGGATATTTACTTTATATTCTCCTACTTTACTGAATCCGTTTATCAGTTCTAGTAAGTTTTCAGTGGAATCTTTAGGGTTTTCTATATACAGTATCGTGTCATCTGCTAATAATGATAGTTTCACTTTTTCCTTTCCAATTTGGATGATTTTTATTTCTTCTTCTTGTCTGATTGTTGTGGCTAGCACTTCCAGTACTATGTTGAATAAGAGTGGTGAAAACGGACATCCCTGTCTTATTCCCAATCTTAAGGGAAATGCTTGTAGTTTTTCCCCTTTGAGTATGATGTTGGCTGTGGGTTTATCATATATGGCCTTTATTATATTGAGTTTTGTTTCCTGTATTCCCACTTTGCCAAGAGTTGGGTTTTTGTTTTTGTTTTGTTTTTTTGTTTTTTTTAATCATAAATGGGTGCTGGGTTTTATCAAATGCCTTTTCTGCATCTATTGAAATGATCATGAGTTGTTATTTTTCATTTTGCTTATGCAATGTATCATGTTCATTGATTTGCAGATATTGTACCAACCTTGCATCCCAGGAATAAATCCCACTTGATCATGGTGTATGATCTTTTTATTGTATTGGTGGATTCTGTTTGCTAATATCTTGTTGAGGGGTTTTGCATCTATGTTTATCAGAGATATTGGCCTATAATGTGCTTTCTTTGTTGTGTCTTTATCTGGTTTTGGAATTAGGATAATGCTGGCCTCATAAAATAAGCTTGGGAGTCTTCCCTCCTCTTGAATTTTATGAAAGAGTTTGAGAAGAATAGATGTTAGTTCTTCTTTGAATGTTTGATTAAATTCACCTGTGAAGCCATCTGATCCAGGACTTTTGTTTGTTGTGATTTTTTTTTCTTTATTACCGCTTTAATTTCACTACTTGTAACCTGTCTATTCAGATTTTCTGTTTCTTTTAGATTCAGTTTTAGAAGATTGCGTATTTCTAGGAATTTATCCATTTCTTCCAGATTGTCCAATTTGTTGACATATATTCAATAGTTGTTTGTAATGTTTTCTTACAATCTTTTGTATTTCTTTGGTGTCAGTTGTTACTTCTCTTTTGTTTCTGATTTTATTTATTTGGGTCATCTCTCTCTGTTTCTTGTTGAGTCTAGTTAATGGTTTGCCAACCTTTTTTATCTTCTCAAAGAACCAACTCTTGGTTTCATTGACCTTTTGTGTTGTTTATTTAAAGACTCTATTTTGTTTATTTCTGCTTTGATCTTTATTATTTCCTTCCTTCTACTCACTTTGGGCTTTGTTTGTTGTTCTTCTTCTAAGTTCATTTAAGTATAAAGTTAGGTTGTTTGAGATATTTCTTGTTGGTTGAGGATACCTGTATTGTTATGAGTTTCCCCTTATCATTATTTAAGCTATGAATTATAGATTTTGGTTTGTTGTGTGTTCATTTTCATTTGTTTCAAGGTATCTTTTGATTTCTTCCTTGATCTAATTGTTAACCCATTCATTGTTTAATAGTGTACTATTTAGCCTCCATGTGTTTGTGTGTTTTTTTCTTGTGATTAATTTCTAGTTTAATACTATTATGGTCAGAGAAGATGCTTGATATGATTCCAATCTTTTTAAAATTGCTGAGACTTGTTTTGTGTTTTAACATGTGGTCTCTCCTGGAAAATTTTCCATGTGCATGTGAAAAAAATATATATTCTCTACTTAGGTGTGAAATGCTCTGAAGATACCAGTTAAAAATTCATCTGATCTAGTGTGTCATTTAAGGCTGCTGTTTCCTTGTTGATTTTCTGTCTGGAAGATCTATCTATTGATGTCAATTGCATATTAAAATCCCTTACTATGACTGTATTACTGTCAGTCTCTCCTTTTATGTCCATCAAGATTTGCTTTCCACACTTAAGTGCTCGTATGTTAGGTGCATAAATGTTTACAAGGGTTATATCCTCGTGTTGGATTGCTCCCTTTATCATTATGTAGTGTCCTCCTCTATCTCTTACTATGGCCTTTGTTATAAAGCCTGTTTTTGTTTTGTGTTGTTGTTTTTTTGTTTTGCTTTTCAGATATAAGTATTGCCATCCCAGCTTTTATTCCCTTTCCATTTGTATGAAATGTCTTTTTCCATCCCTTCATTTTCAGTCTGTGAGAATCTTTCATTCTGAAGTGAGTCTCCTGTAAACAATATGTGTGTAAATGCATCTTGTTTTCTTATCCAATTCAGCTACCTTATCTCTTTTAATTGTGGCATTTAAGTGAGCACCTAATAGTTCTCTGCCTTTTGTGCATCACTTTCCTTCCTCGTTGATGGAACCTGCAAAGAGGTCCAAACCACATCGAAGAATCATTTACAAGGTGTCCCAGCCTTGTGGGTAGCCACTAACATGGTGATGTGCAGGCCATCAAATTATGTACCTTGCTGCATCCAGAAAAAACTCAGGCACCCATCTTAAAGAGGGCTTCTAGTCCTTGCCATGGGACAAGGGGCTATAATAATCTAGGAGACCCAAGTTGAAATCCATCCTCTTTTCTGAAAGGTGCTGAACTGTAATCCCCTTGACCATCTTGAATTCAGAAGCTTAGAGCCAAGCAGGGCCCTGAGCTTCCAGCATTTAAGTTCCAGGTCAAGGACCCTCAGGGGTAGGATAGTCTGAGTGGGCTCTACGGTAGGATATGAGGGTGAGGTCAGGGGAAGAACATACTCAAAAGGCCAGCTGGGACAAGAGGCTGGGAACAGAAAAAGGGAAACAATTACGATGCATTTTGCCCCCTTGCGGCTTTTCCCAGAGTGTTTCTAAAAATGATGGTGCTATTATATCACATTTACAAAAACTATCTTTCCAATATTTTTTTCAAGAAGAAAGAGGGCCGAAACCGGTTTGGTTCAGTGGATAGAGTGTCAGCTTGTGGACTGAGGGGTCCCAGGTTTGATTCGGTTAAGGGCATGTACAGTAGTTGCGGGAGGCAGCTGGTCAATGTTTCTCTCTCATCAATGTTTCTAGCTCTCTATCCCTCTCCCTTCCTCTCTGTAAAAAATCAATAAAATATATTTTTTAAAAGAAGAAGAAGAAGGAGAAGAAGAAGAAGAAGAAGAAGAAGAAGAAGAAGAAGAAGAAGAACAAGAAGAACAAGAACAAGAAGAACAAGAACAAGAAGAAGAAGAAGAAGGAGGGCCTAGACTAAAGATAAGACCTTTAAGAAGGCTTGACAGAACTACATACCTGCAAACCTAAAATCTAGGAAACAAGCCACACCTCCACTCTTAGGAGCTCTTCCATGAGAGAACTTCAACACTTTCAGAAACAAAGTTGTCCATCCCTGGCCAGTGTTTCTCAGTGGTCATTGTGTGGGCCTCAGCACCTAAGGGTTGCAGGTTCAATTCCTGGTCAAGGGCAGTTACCTGGGTTGCAGGTTCAATCCCTGGCCCAGTTGGGGTATATGTGGATGTGTCTCTTTCACATCAATGTTTTTTTCTTCCTCCAACCTTCCTTCCACTCTCTCCTAAAAATAAAAAATAAAAAGAAGAAGCAGCCGAAACCGGTTTGGCTCAGTGGTAGAGCGTCGGTCTGCAGATTGAAAGGTCCCAGGTTCAATTACGGTCAGGGGCATGTGCATTGGTTGCGGGCACATCCCCGGTAGGGGGTGTGCAGGAAGCAGGTGGTCGATGTTTCTCTCTCATCGGCGTTTCTAGCTCTCTATCTCTCTCCCTTCCTCTCTGTAAAAAAATCAATAAAATATATTTTAAAAACAAATAAATAAATAAAAAAAG